AAACGGCAAACGCCAGGCAAAGAAAAATTTTACCAGTATCAGGCAATAAAGAGTAAATGAACTTGCTGTTTTAAAACTGCAATGCATGATTATTCTTTCGACGCAAGAAAGAAAATATGAAACGAAAACGTTCAACGAAAATTTTGCCAAGAAAGTTCGAACCTGCCGTTTGCCGTTCCCGGAAACGTGAAGCTTAAACTCCTTATCGAGGTTACGTTTTCCCAAGAACAAATTAACTAAATGCTCATATATGTGGACCTGTCCGAATGACTTAACATAGCTTGAATAGCCCAAAATGAAGAAAAGACTATACCACCTTGGAGTATACCACATATATATTGATATATATATATATATATATATATATATATATATATATATATATATATATATATATATATATATATATATATATATATATATATATATATATATATATATATATATATATATGCACTCGTTGTCGTGTTTTATTAGATATAAAACGCGTGGCTGCGCCTCATATATACATTTAAAAAACTCATTAATAATTCAGGAGCAAAACACAAAGAAAAATCATAAGCGTGTCGTGGTTTTATATGTGATAAAAAATCATGTTAATTTACATAAACTTTAGCTTTGATTTTCTCGGTTTAGACAAAGTTTATTTTAAAAATTACTTCGCCAATGAACTCGTATAAGATGAGTCGTTTTTGAAGCCATTTAAAGCACTTGTAGTCGTGTTTTATCACATATAAAACACTCCGCTACGCGTCGTGTTTTAAATGTGATAAAACACTCCTACGCGTGCTTTAAATAGTACACTATATTTTATTAGTAAAACACTTTAATTAAATTTAATATTACTCCAAACCAATTTATATTAATATTACAAGCGACCTCATTACCTTGTTCTCTGTACTTACATTCTGTTGTCTGTTGTTCTTCTTTTTTCCACTTGCCTCTTGTTTCCTTGTATTTTGCCAGAAAGATGCTTCCTCTCCAGAAGACAGCGAACCCTAAAATTTACGTGTTAGAGATTGGCCCTTATATTGGTGGATAGGGACGACAATTTAAAATAGAACATGTTAGTGCAGCATAAATAGATTTTTAATTTAGTTTTTGTCTGACTCCAAACCAATTTACATTAAATATTGCGAGCAAACAAATTACCATGCTCAGTCCACTGTCTTGCTGCACTGTTTCGGCCCTCTTTTGTCTACATGCATCATCTTTCTTTGTCTTCTGCATCATAGATGTTTCCTTTTCAGAGGACAACAAATCCTAAAGTTCCCACGTTAGAGATTGGGCCTTATTAATGGTTGGGAAAACACTTAAAAATACAACATGGTGCTTTACAGTTTACCCAGTAAAGTCCATTCAAAAACAGTTTTACCCAGAAAAGGTGAGGGCCAAATTACACCATTACATATGCGTGCCATATTACGCCAACTCTGATAATAACACAAATAGTATATAGGCGCAGATATGGCATGGGGAGCAGGTTATAGGATTATGAAAAAATTGATGTGTAAACCGAGTGATGTTCACCCGACGGCAGGCTAAATGTTGAAAAGTGAATTGGGGTAGCATATAACCCTTTCGGAATAATTTCTTCATCTCCCAGGTTTCACGAGATAATTAAAGTGTTTCCTCCTTATGACAGTAGCTGTACTTATAGCCTAATACCTGCTTATCAGTTAATATAACACATTAGCTCCCAAATATCCCAGACGCAAGGCTTTAAATTCCCATTAGCAAGAAAACTTTCTACTTAATTTAGTTTTAGCTTGACTCCAAACCAATTTACATTAAATATTACAACCAATTTCATTACCTTTCTCAATAAATTTTGCTTCGTCGGGCAATTAGAGAACTTCAACGTTTCGAGCAAAGGTCCTTCGTCGGAAAGTTAGTTGCGAAGGTTTTTCCTTTTCAGAAGACAGTGAACCCTAAAATTAACAGTTTGACTCCAAACCAATATGTATTAAATATTTCAACCAATCTCCATTACCTTTCTCAATGTCATTTCCTTCTGTGGTCTCTTAGTGTTTTTTTCTCCACATGAATCATGTTTTTTTGTCTCCTTCAGCAAAGACCTTTCCTCTTTAGAAGACAACAGACCCTAAAAGTTACATTGCATCTTAGAGATTCGTCATCATTAGCGGAGACCAGTAGATCGAGCATTCCAGTAAAATAAGTATTTAATTTAATTTTAGTTCGACTCCAATCCAATTTCAATTTCATACAAGCAATCTCATTACCTTGCTTGATGTACTCTCTCCCTGTGGTTTCTTGGTCGCCTTTTGTCCACATACCACATCTTTCGTTGTTGTTTGGAACGAAGATGTTTCCTCTTCAGAAGACAACGAAACCTAAAATTTTTCATTGTTAGAGATTGCCCTTATTAGCGGATAAAGACAACAATTTCAAAATAGACCATTGTAGTGATTTTAATTTAGTTTTAGTT